AAAGTATATTGCTTACTTTCCGCATTTCTCTCTCTCCATGCATCTTTTAAGTTAAATTCTTCTATTATTCAAAGGAAGGATTTTGGTAGTATCTTTCTAACTTTCTTTGTTGTTTTCTGTGTTTTATAATCCAACCGGTCATTAATTATTCCATTAAAGTCTCCCATCATATAAATATTAACATAGTCCAATTCAATTATTTTCTTATGTAATCTTCTGTAGAATTCTTCTGGTTTATCATCCGTGGCATAAATTGCAATTAGAAGTGTTTTAACGTTGTTATCCATTATTTCTACCATCAGAATCCTTCCATCATCATTTGTGTAGATTAGTTCTGCCAAAATTGTTTCTTTAATATATAATACCACACCTCTTTTTTGGGGTTGTGCCAGTGATGTAAATAATTTCCCTAGTTTTCCTTGTTTTAGTATATATTCATGTTTTTTAATATGTACCTCTTGTAAGCAGATTATGTCAAATTTTAATTTTTCTAATTTGTGAAATACTTTCCTTCTTTTAGTAGCCAAATTAAGTCCATTTATGTTAATCAAAATCAATTTTCTTTCATCCATGTTAAGCTTTATAAAAGGGTTTTATTGTTCTAGTAGATCTCAATTCTTGTTGTTCTCTGGGTTCACTGCCTATTGCACCTTCTTCTTTTTCTTTTTCAATTACTGCTGTACGCTCCTCTTGAAATTCAATTAGTGACTCTTCCTTTCTTTCTTCTTCCTCCTTTCTTCTAAAGTATTCTAAGTAGAATAGCTCAGCTTTTTCAACTGTGTCAATTCTGTGTCTTTGTTCCTGCCAAGTGAACAAGAGGCCTTCTGGCATCAACCATCTGTAGTTTACTCCTCTTTTAAGTAACTCTTTAGTCAAGAATAAATATCCTCTTCTCATCTCTCTTACTCTTCTTGGTATCTGTTTCAGCACCACAATTTCTTTGTCTTTATATTTTCTCTCTCACCACTTGGAGTATCTGTGTCTTAATAATCTTCTTAGTAAATCTAATGTGAACTTCTCTTGGTAGTCTATTCCTTGTTGCATATCTTGTATAGACACGAAACACTTCATCCATCCCATCCATCATCTTTTCTTTGGTTATTTCCAGTGCTTCTGCCAATATTTCTGCCAATATTTCTGCCATTATTTCAGCAAGGTTTTCACCTTTTCCTTCTTCTATATTTTAGGGAAATCTTAGATAAAATTCTGATTTATCTATTTCTCATCCTAATGGTTCACATCTGCCCCTCTCGACATCGCTCAATCGAATATCAATGTCTCCAATTTTCTTATCTCTTTGTATATCTTCTTCTTCAATTTTTTTTAACTCTGTCTTCATATTTCATCATCATCTGTTGAATATTTTCCACTTTCTCATCTGTCTTTTCTATTTTTTGCTCAATCTTCTGGATTCCTTGCATAATCATCTTCTCTTTCTCTTTTTCCTGTTGTAATTTTGTCTGTATAGATTGTTGTCCTCCAGATGATGAGGGGGTTGGTATCGAAGAAGGTGGAGCTGTTGTTTTTCTACTCATCTTATAATGCTTATCTGTAAAGAAAGAGAGAGAGAAAAAAAAGAAAAAAAGAGGAAAAAGGAAAAAAAAAGGGGGGGGAGACGAAGGCAAACAGTTGCCACTCCAAAGGAAAAAAGGAAAAAGAAAGTCTTCAGGCACTTGTATACCTTAATCCAATTAGTTACAATGGTAAATGTAAAAAGTAAAAAATCAACGATAAAAAAGGGGGAAAAGAGAAAGAGAAATATTCTATATGTTCTTAATAAACAAAAAGAAAACAAAAATAGAAGATTTACATTCTGGTTCCTGGTTTAAAAAGTCAACATCCAATGAAAGAGAAAAAAAAGCCCAACTAGTGGGAGGGGAGTAGAAAGGGAGGCAAAAGGTAAAAAGCAATTCTAATATAAAACAAGCCTCTGCCGCCAAATATCCAAGCTCAGAGTTTTTCAAGGTCACTTCAATCTTCTTTCTTTCAACTTCAACTCCAGACTCCAGCTGTCTGTTCACAAATGAGCACCTGAATAAACAAACTGCCATGCTCATCTCTATCTTTTCCAATACACAGCTCAGAGTCCTTGATTGTAACACAAACTAGTGAAAGAAAAAAGAAACAATGTATCCAAGCCTCTGGGTGGCAGTGCTACTTACTTTCCTTCACTTTCACTTCCCCCTCCTCAATCTACAGCCAGGAACTAAAAGAAAAAAAAAGTAAAGTCTTTTCCCCCTTTTTTCTAAAAGGGAGAAAAATAAATCTTAAATCAAGCAGAAGAGTCTTAATCAATTTTTTTTCAAAAGGATTGTTAAAAAAAGGAGAAAGAAATACAAACAGAAATAAAAAGATTAAAAAGTGCCAATCCAGCTTAAAGTTAAACAGCTTTGCCAAGTTCAACATTCCAAATAAAAAGGGAAAAAAAGAAAAAAACTTTCACTTTGACAACTAATCATGCCGCTTAAACTCTTTCCTCTTCACTTTTAATCCACTTTAATTTTTTCAGGGTGTTCTCTCCAAGAAATAATAAGTAAAAGTTCATCTCCCCAAACTGACACACTTTCTTCCAATCTCTTCTGTTCCGGAATTGTCCCAGCTTCAGCTGCTTGGAAGTCTGCTTCTCCACCGTCAGCAAAAAGGGCTTTCCCTGGATCAATCAGGGACTTTGCGATGTCCCTGGGATCAACAGGATGTGCCCTTGTCAATCACCGTCTCTACGGGACGGTTTAGGTCTGTGGGAACCGACCAGCAGCTGAGATATCGACGGTGATCTTGGAGGATCAAGATCGTCCGTCCAACTGCTGCGACGCCAGCTCCGCCCTCTCTCCGCTAGGTTTTCTCCCTTTTCTTCTTCCATAATCTGGAATCTTAAATAATAATCTGCCCAATCCATCTCTAAAGTTATTATTGTTCTTTCTTTCTTTTGATCTGCCAGTGTAAGTCTGTAATCTACCTCTCCCACTTTTTTTCTGTTGTTTTAGCTTTCTCTTCTAACTGGTCTAATTGTGCCATGAAACCTGATACCCCTGATGATTCCTCACCCTCAGATGCACTATCAAAACCACCCGGGGGCACGTATGGTGGAGGATGTGGCGCTTCCTCCGGGCAACTACGCAAGACCTGTACTGCTTTCTGTAACTTTTTAAGAGACACATTTCGTATTAGCAGGGCCCTACAGCATCGCATCTTGAGCCTTCTAAGCCAAGGAGGAGGGTGATTCAACAAATCAAGCCAGACGTCTATGTATGGGGCCTGGTCTGGATGCCCTAGAGTAGGGTGAAAGACTAAGCGGTGTACTTGTACTGTTATGGGGATATCAAGTGTGCCTATAGGGGGCCACTCAAAACCAAATGTTGGCCACTCTGTCTTGCAAAATTTCCGTAGTTTCAGCCTACTCCACTTATAACCATAATCCTGAGAGTGATATGCCTCCTTAAAATGTTTCAGCATAACCTCTAGCGGGGTCACAGTCTTGCTTTCTCCACCACCCATGAACCACCCAAGTAACCAGACAAGACAGATGAGGAAAGGGGTTGGAAAGGAGGGTATGGGGTCCCTCCTTTTCCAGGCACACCAGAGAGTTACACACATCCACGCCCGGCCCAGGGAGCCGGATGCACACGGTCTCCGATGGGAACTGCGGACGCCACTTGCTTTCTACTGGCCCACGGTGCTGGACACTCACAGTCACCAATGGGAACCGCAGTAGTCTTTCACTTCAACCAAACCTGACAATTCCGCCCACCTTACCTTAAGAGAGGGTGATCAGTCCTCTCCTCCATCCCAGCTTACAGGGAGGGATTATTACCCAAGTTCAATACTTGCCTGCAGGCATCTTCCTTCTCCACAGCTGGCCAGACGATGTCCTGGTCTCCTCACCTCTCACCTGTGGTTCTTGGAAGAGTCAATCGCCGACACCAGAGAACAGCAGTCTGAGGAAGTCCCTCAGATTCAAAGGACCGATGGCGCCTGGGATGTTCCCTTCAATTCACCGATACACTGGCAGTCGGGATGGACCCTCCAGAGGGCCTCAGGGCCCCTTGTCTCCTGGCATAAATGTTGCAGCAAATCTTGATTCCAATTAGGACACAAGACCACGAAAGGTGGGAGAATACAGGTGTTTATTTGCGCAAAGCGTTCAGAGCATTCACATGACAAATTCTGAACCCCCAGCTCTTCCTGAAACAATGCTTTTATACCCAAAATGACATCAGCCAGAACTTGGGCATTATTCTTAACACTATTCACCAAATAAGGACACTTATACATATTTCTATTACATATTTCTATTACATATTTCTATATATGGATTATAGTAGAGGAAATAACAAGTACATTTCAGAGTTTCCAGTTATCTTACACCATTCGGTTATTTTCCACGTTCCACCCTTGTTTACGGCTATGTGGTGAGCTTTAGTTCCTCGGTACAGTTGGAATACAGGAAGTTACAGATATTTCTTAATATGGCTTGCTACAGGAAGTTACAGATATTTCTTAATATGGCTTGCTAATAGTAACAGAATAATGTTTTAGATACTTTTATATGAAAAATGTATTTCATCCCTGTTCTTCCCCTGCTTCAATGTGACCAGCAAGCCACGCCCAGCCAGTCACATGACTAGCAAGCCACGCCCACCCAGTCACTTGACCAGCAAGCCACACCCTCAAATTAGGCCACACCCACAGAAATTTGAATCCCACAACTGGGTGGGGGGCACTGAGGATGAGTTTGTAGTACCAAGGGGGCAGTGGACTGAAAATGTTTGGGAACCACTGCATTTGGTTAAAGCCTAGAAGAGTTCATTTTGCATTAAGGCCAAAAGTAGATGCAGAATTAGATAAATTAATAGCCCAAGGGGTTCTTGAACCCACAGATTTTGCAAAATGGGAAACCCTTATTGTGACAACCCTAAAGCATGAAGGTTCTATAAGGATTTGTGCTGATTATAAAAGTACCATAAATAAGGCCTTGCAAACCAAAGTGTACCCAGTGCCAATAATTCAACATCTGTTGCACTCACTGGGAAAGGGTTCTTGCAAAACTTGATATGGCCCAAGCCTATCAGCAACTACCTGTTGACAACCATACCATGGAAGGACAAACAATTGTCACCCATCATGGTGCCTTTAAATGCAAAAGATTGCAATTTGGGGTTTCAGTGGCTCCAGGTTTATTTCAATGTCTTACTGAGCACTTACTTCAAGGCATTCCGGGGGTAGTGCCCTACTTCGATGATGTTCTTATTTCTGCATGCAACAAAGGTGAACTCTGCAAATGCCTCAGAAGGGTCCTAGCCTGTTTTCAAACAGCAGGCCTTCAATTGAAGAAAACCAAATGCAAATTTGCAGTCAGCCAAGTAGATTTTTTGGGATCCCACATAGATGCCAAGGGTATTCATCCCATAGAATCAAAGGTAAGAGCCATTAAGGATGCCCCAACACCATCAAACAAGACTGAACTGCAAGCTTTTTTGGGCTCCTAAATTTCTATAACTCTTTCCTCCCTCATAAGGCTTCTGTGGAGGAACTGTTACATAGATTATTGGATGCAAATGCTTCTTGGACATGGGGGCCCAAAGAGGACCTTTCTTTCCATGCTGTAAAGGCTTTGTTGTCATCTGACAGCATATTAATACAATTTGACAGGAATTTACATTTGGTACTTTGCTGTAAGGCATCCCCTTTCAGAATAGGTGCTGTTCTAGCACAGAAGTTGCCAAATGGCCTGGAAGCGCCGATAGCATATTTTTCAAAAACTTTATCTAGTACTGAGAGAAATTATGCTCAGATTGGTAAGGAGGCCCTAGCAGAAGTCACTTCTGTTAAAAAAAATTAATGAATTCCTCTACAGTCACCATTTTCAGCTTGTGAAAAATCACAAACTTTTATTAGGCATTTTGTCTGGAGATTGTCAAAGCCTGTTAGGGATATACACCCTAGCAGAATGTGCAACGGCAGTCTAGCAGGCAGGCAGATATGTGAGACAAAACATTGTAGTAGCTTACACTCAGTAAGACAGATACACTGTGCAAGTTAAATAGTTTTTATTCCAGCAAGAGTTATAGCATAGTCAAAACGGTCCATATGTCATACACTAAGTTCAGTCAGTCCGGGGGTTATTCAGTTTGCAAAGTCCAGTGTAGAAAAAGAGTTCATTAAACTTACAATCAATCAGTCCAGTGATATATCTCTTTTGCAGTCAGAGATATGAAGAAAAATCAAACCCCTTTTCTTCTTTCAGCAAACACGCAGTTATCACCATCAATCCATCATTTGTCAGCAATCCAGTAAAAGCCAGGGTAAACAGTGAGCTCTCTTGCTCCCTCTTATGGTGATTTTACAACCGCACCCAAAAACTTGGTTTACAGTTTAAAGTGATACATAGACTTAAACTCACTAACATAGTTAATATATATATTATTTTATCCAAACTAAGTTAGGTAACCATGTTATCCCTAACAAAGCCCTACAGTCTTATCTCCAAGAATGACTAGATGGACAATATTCATTGCTGCCTACTCACACACGTTAATACATAGAGCAGGGAACCACCTTAGCCACGTGGACGCTCTAAGACGCTGCCCCTTGCCAATCTACGCTGTTGACCCTGCACCATCATTAACAGTGTTTTTATTGGATGATCAACAATTACCTTTGACTGCCGTGGATATTGCACAATTTTCATCAAAAGACCAGGTAATATTGCAGGTTTTGGATTGGGTGAGAAGGGGATGGCCTGAAGGAAAATTAGACACCAAATTCTTATCTTTCAGAGCCAGGCAGCATGAGATGTCCACCGAGCAGGGGTGTTTATTATGGGGCTGCTGTGTTATTGTCCCTAGCATATTGAGGCCTGGAATAATTGACAGTTTGCATGAAGGACACCTGGGTATAGCCAAAATGAAGGCCCTGACAAGGAGCTATTTTTGCTGGTCAGGTATAGATGCAGTCTTAACCACTAAGGTCAGAATCTACCAAGCATGTCAGTTATCAAGACCAGCCCCACCAGCTGCCAATCCAGGGGAATGGGAATCGGTTAAGTCCCCGTGGTCACGAGTCCACATAGATTTAGCAGGGCCTTTCCAGGGCCGCGTATTCCTAATTTTAGTGGACTCGTATTCCAAATGAGTAGAGCTGACACTTATGCACACTACTACATCAGAAGCTGTGATTAAAGAATTAGAGCGTTTGTTCGTAACCCATGGTTTTCCAGATGTTCTTGTATCAGACAATGGTCCACAATTTACAGCAGCCAATTTTGAACTGTTTCTAGCCAAGAAGAGGGTCAGGCATGCCCTGACAGCCCCTTGTCATCCGGCAGTGAATGGATAGGCTGAGAGGGCCGTAAGTGCAGCCAAAGAGGTTTTAGGTAGACTCAAGGGAGAAAATTGGCATTCAAAATTAGCCATTTATTTACTGTCACAGCATATCACTCCCAGTGCGGAGACAAACTGTTCTCCCACAGAATTGCTAATGGGAAGGAGGTTTAGGAATAATTTGGATAGGTTCCACCCGAGCTACACACCATCTATTCCCTTAGATTCTTACAGCCAAGTAAGATCATTCCAAGTAAACAAACCTGTCTATGCGAGGAATTTTGGGGGTAAACCTCTTTGGCTTCCGGGCAAGTGATAGCTGTCACGGGTACCCGGTCTTACAAAATTAGTTTGCAGGATGGCAGAATATGGCGCCACTGTTAGGAATGATAGTCACCTAACAGTTGGGTTGGCAATATATAAACCAGGATAGTCATTTAATACTGATGTATCTTTAAGAGAATGCTGTAATTGTGATTGGCTGAGGTTCCTCCAATGGCCATAAGGTGGAGCCAAAAACCTGGTTTGTTCTTCTTGCATTTCCCTTTTGCCTTCTGCCTGATCATCATTCTGCTTGGATTGCTGAGAGTCTTGCAACTGTTAGCATACTCCATTTACTGAACTTTGTTTATGATACTGAACTTCATTTTTTGGATTATCCCTGGACTGATTGTTCTGAATACTAACTGCTTTAACCGTGTATGATTTGGACTGTTTGTTGGACTTTGTTTACCCATTTACTGGAAGTAAAACCTACATTTTAATATTCAGTGTATCTGTGTGCTGGTTGTGTGTTATTAAACACCACTCTCACTACGTTTCCCTGAGTGCATTCATTCTCCTTACGGGGAATACCTCAACACTGGCTATGGGCTTCTAATAGTGTGTATATGTGTGTATGAAAATATTTGAGACAATAGCTTCACAGAAAAATAGTTGTGTAATTTCTACAAAAAGGGGTTTTTCTTTTAGTTTACTACTTGTGAAAAATTCTCCAGGACTTCATGTTATTGTTTTTTAAAAATACTAATCTGAAAATTTTCTTACAATTAATGTTAATAATCTGGTGTTTTAGTTTTAGAAATATGAAACTATTATGCAAATATTAAATTAATGGAGGAGGGTGGAGAGAAGATTGTTAGGGATAACATTGGTTACCTAACTTATTTGTGTAAAAATAATATATATAAACTATGATTGTGTGTATCACTTTAAACTGTAAACCAAGTTTTTGGGTTGTAAAATCACCATAAGAGGGAGCAAGAGAGCTCACTGTTTGCCTGGCTTTTACTGGGATGCTGACAATGAAGGATTAATGGTGATAAACTGCGTGTTTGCTGAAAGAAGAAAAGGGTTTTGATTTTTCTTCATATCTCTGACTGGAAAAGAGATATATCACAGGACTGATTGATTGTAAGTTTACTGACCTCTTTTTCGACACTGGACTTTGCAAACTGAATAACCCCTGGACGGACTGAACTTAGTGTATGATATATGGACTGTTTTGACTATGCTATAACTCTTGCTGGAATAAAAACTATTTAACTTGCACAGTGTATCTGTCTTACTGAGTGTAAGCTACTACAACGTTTTGTCTCACATATCTGCCTGTCTGCTAGACTGCCGTTGCACGTTCTGCTAGGGTGTATATCCCTAACAAAGATCATAATAAAATCATATTAGTTCCAATGAAAAAAAATCTGAGCAAAATAAGGAAATATTGTCTCAAACACATGCAGCAATAGCTACTTAATACAATAAAATAATATTTTTGTCGTTCTTGATGCTTTCAGCTCTAGTACTCAAAGAATGTATGCAGGTGGAAGTATGCCTCAGAGAAAATCATGGGTTTTTATATAAATTATGATTCTGCGGTTTTTCTCTGCTAAAGACTCATTAAGAATTGTTTCCAAAGAAGGTGCCAAAACATGTCACTCAATTTAGGGAGATCATGGCATAAAATATATTTCTTCTCCCATACAGAAATTCTGAAATTCAAATGAAACATTTATGTGACAAACTTTACATATTTTTATTCATATGGTACCTAATTTGCATAAGTAGGAAACTATACAAAAGTTGACCACTCAACTGCAAATCTGGGGGAAAATGTATTTGCAGAGAGATCATAAGGGTATGTCCCATGAGCTTAGAAGCATAATTTTGCTTTTAGAACTGATGTGCTTCGTAATCCCAATTCTGATGGTTATGTGGGAGGTAAGACTATTATATTTTTAGTGCCAAATGTTGAATCCAAATTTTTAAGTTTCAGATTCATAATTGGAAACTTTGCCAGATTTTATATTCCAACCCTCTCCCATTCCCTATATAGGAGGATGTGGTTCCTGTCAGTGGTAAGCTGTTGGGGGCTCGAGTAATCCCCCAGCTACCCTGGTCACTGGAGCCTTAGTGCAGGAGCGAAGCACCCCACTACACAAGGGGGGAAGGAGAGAGATGAGAGAAAAAAGGGGAATCTCTCTCTCTCTCTCGCGCGCGCGCGCGCGCGCGTGCAGGATAATCTCCAGGGTTTAGATCATGGTGGTGGTGGGGATGGTAACTCCTCCTCCCGCTGCCGCCAATGTACGCTCACGTGAGTAGCCGGCCGTGCTGTGCTGGAGAGCCAGAGTGCTTCCCTCCTTGCATTTCGCGGCGGCGGCGGCAGCTGGTGCTCCTCCTCCTTCCTGAGCCGACACGAAGGGGACCGTGGCTGGCGCTGAGCTGCCCACGAAGGATGCGGAATCGTAAAAAGCAGCCGGTTGCAAATCCACTGCCCAGCTATGGTCCCCTTTGTGTCGGCTCAGGCCAGAGAGAGAAATGAGAAAATGATGGAGGGAGAGGATGAGAGAGAGGAAAAAGAGAAACAAATGAGAGAGAGAAGGGGGAGAGGGAGAGAAATGAGAGAACTGGAGGGAGAGAATGAGAGAGAGAGAAATACATGAGAGAGAAGGGGGAAAGAAAGGAAGGAAGAAAAAGAAAGAAGAGAGGGAGAGAGGGTGGAAAAAGAAAAACAGAAATGAGAGGGAGAGAGAGAGACCAATTTCCCACAGAAAACACCAGGAGCAAAAACCCTGGGTAGGCATAGGGGGTGGGGTGGGGGGGTCATGTGACTGGGTGGGAGTGGCATTGGGAGTGGCCACCCAGGCAGTCATTAGGGCAGAGAGCCCCTTGCTAAAAATTTGAAGTCACCACTGGTTCCTGTCAGTCCAAATTGCACTGTATTGCAAGCTGCTGCCATAATCTCTTTATCCAGGTAGGATTTACTTAGATCAGTTTTAAATTAGATCAGCATAAATATAGTAGTTTAAATGATGTGCAAACATGCCCTAAGTTTAAGAGCATTCTTTTAAATTTAAAAGCTTGGAAAAAATAAAAAATAGAATACTTTATTGGCCAAGTGTGATTGGACACACAAGGAATTTGTCTTGGTGTAAATACTCTCAGTATACATAAAAGAAAAGATACATTCGTTAAGAATCAAGAATCATAACGTACAACACTTAATGATAGTCATAGGGTATATTAAAAACAAACGGTTGTAATTGTGTTCACTGTCTAACACCCACAGTAAAATATTGCAGACTGGGTCTCTCACTCTCCCCCCTCCCCGTCCCCATTTTTTAAAAACCCTGTAATTAGCTTACTTATCTTAAAAGATAATATATTTAAGTAGCCCATTAGTCTCTTACTCATCCTGGGTACTGATTGAGATTGAGAACTGAAAAGCAGAGTGTAAAGTTTTAGCTGAAGGTGGTATTAAATATATCACTGGATGAAATGTAGAATATTTTTAATCAGCATTTCCTGGAGTATGAATATCTTAAATCATACTCCAAAATGGAACTATTTCTCTTTGAGAATTGCAAATGCATAACAATAACTCTGAAAAGATATGTAAAGAGCAAAGGGAAGATCCTCTCATCACTCGCAATCCTTGAGAAACACCAGTCTCACTTAGATGTGCTGTTTAGACAAGTGCTATAGCAGGCTAGGGAATAAAACAAAGCAGAAAATATCCTGCTCTTAACACAAGGAGGCAGGCAATTTAGTACCATAACAACCGAAGAAACATTTTGTGTGAAAGGAAGAAAGGTTATTTTGGATTTGGTTTCATTATGTAACATAGCTATAATTAATCACATATTGTCATTTCTTAATGATATAGAAAGTTCGCATTAAAGGCTAAAACAGAATTGAAATGTGAATTTAATCATAGTATTTTTTTTTCAAAAAACGTGATATTTCCTTTATTTTTATTTTATTATATCATTACCTTGTTGATCAAACCATGTAAATCAGATTATGCCACATGTACTATTCTTCCTCCGCTGCTGCTATGAAGGAACAAGATTTTATATTAATATTAATGACACAAATTATTACAGTTCAGATTAGTCATGCTTAGAAATGACCTTGGAAAACTAAACACCATGACCAACTTGATCTGTTGGTTTCAATGGATTTATTGTACATAATTTTGGTTCCAAGCTGAACTTAGTAAATTGTACATACCATAGTAAATCTGAACATGCTCCAATACAACTAGTTAGTGATAGCCTCATAAATTTAATTGCCAGCACTTGATAAAGAATATGTTTTAAGTTCAACTACTTTCAGGCTGTAGGATCCTTTTTATTTATCGTATATATCATATCTGTCTATCTGTCTATCTGTCTATCTGTCTATCTATCTATCTATCTATCTATCTATCTATCTATCTATCTATCTATCTATCTATCTATCTATCTATCTATCTATCATCTATATCTGCTCTTGAAGAGTATTTGGAAGCTTCAACTTGGTAAGAATGCAGTGGCATGGGCAGATGTGTGCTCCTATGAGAATGTTATACCTCTGCTCAGCATTAGCTGGCATCTGGGTCCAATTTAAGGTGCTGGTTTTAACCTTTAAAACCCTTCATGGCATAGGATTAGATTATTTGAGGCCATATTAGTGAGGCCATATTATCTATTACTTCAAGCCATATTAGATTTAGTAGAGATAGCATATTACAGGTATCATCTATCAGGGACCTATGTTAAGTTGTCTTGTTATAGTGTTCACCCCACTGAACATTCTCCCTAGGTTAGTTTGACACCATCCTTGCTATCATTTTGGAAGTCCCTTAAGACCTAGTTGGGTCACTAGGCCTGTAGGTCTCAGAGAACCATAGCACATTCTTAAATGGTTCCATTGTGATTGATCTTTTCCTTTCTCCATATGGTTTGCATATTTAATTTTTTTTAATGTTTGGGTTGCTTTTATGTATTTATTGTTATATTCCACCCAGTTTCTTTTTGTGAGACAGGCAGCCATATAAATGTGAGCAATAAATAATGTGCACAGCACCAGCAATGACCGGAAGAAGAGGCAAGTAGAGGGGTCCTGGCCTGGAATATGGAGCGAATCTCCATCCACCACCGTCACCCTTATCTTCTCAGGCCAGGCGAGGAGTGAGTGAGAGGGGAGGGCAAGGGAGCCAGTGGAGAGAGATAACCTGTTTCCCAGAGAAGAGAAAATACTGGGAGCCACAAAACCTGGATAGGCGTGGCTGAGGGGGGTGTCATATGACTGGGTTGGAGTGAGTGACATTGAGTTGACCATGCCCACCCAGGTTTTGTGACTCCTGGTCTTTTCTTTGGGAAATTGGTCCAAATGGCTCTTGTTTAAGGGTTCAGATCCCTGCTCTAGCCACTTACTGATGTTACTTTCAAGTTATGCAATAAATGTGCCCTCCCGTTTCCCTTTCCCCTAATATGAAACATAAAATTATTTTGCATTGCCTGTTCAGAGAATAGTAACTACAAGATTTCCAATTTCTTAAAGATGATGGAAGAGTTTACTAATAAGAGACAACTGAGTTAGATTGAGCACTGCCGGACGTCATTTTATATGACCTGATGCTCACTATCATCAACATTGAATTATTTCACTTGCCTTATTAATTTGTTGCAGATGTACAGCTTTCTCACTTAAATATTAAAAACTGCATTAGTTTCAGTAACAAATGATAATTATATACTGTATGTGTTTACCTGGCTATGCATGGAGATATATCTACCTACCTTTAATAGCCAATGGACTAGGTCAGTGTTTCTCAACCTCAGCAACTTTAAGAAGGGTGGACTCAACTCCCAGAATTACCCAGCCAACTGAGAATTGAAGCTGTTAAAAAAACTGGATGGTTATCTTGTATCTAAAACCAAAGGGAAACACTAATTCCTCAGTGAAAATAAAATGTATAGTAAAATTTAATTAAAAGGCATTACTAATTTTGAAGTGATTTTTTTTTGTTTTTGTAGGTGTCATGGAGTACATTTTTGGTTTAGGCAGCTTTGCCCCAGGTTCTAATTCGATGGCACAATCAGTGGCTCGATGAGGTGGGAGGATGTTGCATTCCTTCTCACTAAGTGCATGAGCTAAGTCTCTATATTCTTTAGGAACCTGGGGTTCACTTGGAGCAATAGCTGCTACTTCTCAGGAGGCACAGGGTGAGCGGCCTGATGCCAATTATGATTTTCTGGTACCCATCTTCCCATTTAATGGTAGGGGCCCATTTGTCAAGCCACACAAGTTCCAATATGACAGATTCTGACATTTTTGGAGCTACTATATAAGTTCGTGATGCCTCCCCATTTCTAATCTGATCAGTTCTGTAATCTGGGTGGCTGGGGCTCCTCCAATTAATGTTCCATCTACTTGTTAAAACTTGATTGGGCATTTTAGGGTTTTAGTTTTTATCCCTAATTGCTCAACAATTGGGAGCCCAATTAGACATCTGGAACTTCCTGTATCTATTACTGCTTCTAATTCCCCAAACTCCCCAGTCTCAGGCACTACCAACTTCACTTTAATTGTAAAAGGGGAGATGACTGCACTCACCATGGGATCCTCATCATAATTTGCCTTTCTGGGAAGGGTTTCTTTGGCCGGAGGTTCCTTGCTCTTTTTTGTTTGGCATACCGACTGGTCTCTAGGGGTTCCGTGGAGTTCTCCTACCTCTGGTAGCTGTAGTGGGCCTTGGTTGCAGGAAACCGGAGCAGGGGCCAGACACTTGGAAGCCCAATGACCCACTTGACCACAACAGTAGCATTTGATTGGGTAGATCAATAGATTGGGTAGGAGCAGCTTCAGCAGGCCAAGTTTCTCCTAGGGCGCCTCTCAGAGGGAGGTTTCTGGTGTGGGTGAATTTCTCTATCCAGAACAATGAACATGGTATAGCAGTCTTGCAATTGCTCTGGATGCCACAGGCTTTTCTGACTTCTTGATCAATGGCTTCTTTAAAATAGTGCAGAAGTATTCTGTCAGGCCAATGCATAAGATTTTCTGTGACCCGTCTAAAGTCCCACAAAGTCTTTTATGGGTTTATTACCTTGCTTCATCACTTTTATTTTGTCTTCATTTTCACCTACTCTGTCAGGGTCTTCAAATCTAGCCCGGAGCAGCTCAACAAATGCATCTGCATCATTTAGTTGCATCATTGGAAACATTTTCTTCATTTATGCCATCTGTAATCGCAGAAACTAAGTTGCAATCTGTTTCGTATTGGTCTCCATATTGATCCATATGTGCCCAGATTCGGCTGAGGAAATAAGCAAGTTTTTCAGGCTTCCCATCAAATGTCACTCTAAACCTTGGTTATGCTGGTCTCGCTGGTGAAATCATCATAGCGACTGGTGGCGGGGCAGGGACCTGCTGGGCCACTGCTGCAGGCAGCAGAAGGGGAGGCCTGCAAGGGTGCTGCAAAGGGTGGCAGGGTGGTGGGCAGCGGCTGAGCTGTAATCTGCTGTGCCGCTGCTGCTGGCTGCTGGTAATGGCCGGCTGCTGATCTGGCTGTTGAGTTGGAAAAGGGGTGGTGGTGGCTGCAGCCTGCTACTGGATCTGACCCCATTGCTGCGCCAGGAGTGTTGTAGCAATTTGGCCCCATGGTGGTCCCGAAGAAGGTGGTGCAACTGGTGCTGGCATTCACTGGCATTGGACCCACCCATGACCAGGATAGAATCCCCAACCTCAGGAGGTAGCATAAGGGTTGGCTGAAGGGGGGGGGGGCAATTGGAGGTCTCAGCATCCCAAATGATGGTTGCATCTGCTGCTTCCCCACTGTTACTTGCCTCTGCTGTGCTGAGTCAATTCTCCAGTCATCTCTTGCTGAGTGGAATGAAGCCGATGCCACACTGGTTCTACTGCCAGGTCCCAGATCAGGAAAAGTGAATGTGGGTTGTGCTAAGTTCCATCTCGGTTGTGGAGGTTGGGACTGTGGGACATAACTTTCCACTTCAAGTCACTCAAAATGCTCAGGGAGTCTTGCCAATGATTGGCTTCAAGTCAGAGGCAACAGGTTCCAGTCTCGAGAGCTGTCAGACCCCAAAAGCCCCACGTCTCCCCATTCTGACTCCTGGGCTGACTTTGCTGGGCTGGAGTAGGAACAATGTTCCAGTGACCTTTCTTCCAGTGCCATTTCTGGGGTTGGATTAGTCTGGCAACTTTTCCAGGAATCTGTTTCCTTGGGCTGAGTGCCTAGCCTTCGTCTCTCCTCTGCAGCTTCAATGGCTTGCACAAATTGTTCAAGAGGAGGATACCAGGTCTTGATTAGTCCGCTGGTATCAGTTCCCACCGCTACTTCTGTGATCTCCTCCTTCTCCTCCATCTTCACTGAGTCTTTGCACCACCCGAACTTTAGGTTGGTACTGGGGCTCTGTACCCAAACAGCCTCCTTTCAGGGTGCTGGTAGCTATTTAGAGATTTGAGATAATGTCAGCATTCCAGAGAAACTCGACTCCAACAGATAACTCCAAATCAGACATGTTCTCAAAGTTCCCTTTTATTAGAGTAGTAAACTGGCACATCTGGGAAATCCCAAATCTGAAAGTCCTGGATTTCCCTCCAATAAGTAAAATATTACAAATCAACCCACTGCTCCCATCATTCCATCACATGCCCCAATCACCATCCGTCCCAACTTGAGATGTCCCCTCTAGTACTCTTCAGCCAGGTGCAGGAACAACATGACCTTGACTCTAAAGAAGAATGCTATTATGTCTAACCACATACGTTCCATGAAATTCCCCCCTCCCACCTACCAGGCTCAAGAATGTGGCAGTATGGAAACATCTGGCTTCCAAAGCTGACAATCTTCACATCTGAGGATTGGTGGAATCCACATTAGACTGTTAGGAGGGGTTTCTAACTCTCTTTATCATAGTTGCATGGCCTGAGGGGTTTCATATCCTGCTTTGAATTTGCTGTACTCCTCTTCAGTAAAAAGATTCCTTTTGAAATACAAAGTTTTCAAGAGTTCATACTTTTATTTTGAAGGGAGGGAGAGGCTGGTCTTTACAGATGTTCCAATATCTTATTATATTGTTTTTTAATATGAACTTCTTGTAGACAAATTATATCCAGTTTTAGTTTTTCTAATTTACTAAAAATTATTTTCCTTTTTATTGCAGAGTTCAGTCCATTCATGTTAATTGACAGTAATTTTGTTTCTTCTTCCATGTTTTTACTTATAGATAGGATTTGCTGTTCTAATCGTCCTTGCCTCTCTTGGTTCTCTGGCTCTTGCTCCTTCTCTTAAGGTTCTTTCTTCCAAATCTCTTTCAACCTCTTTTTGTTGTATTTCCTTCTCTTGTGCAGTTTCTTCTTGGCTTCAAATCTCCTTTTCTTCCCTCACTCTCTTCCTCCTGTAGTGCCAGGTAATGATCATAAAATTGTTCTCTATTGAGTCTAGTCTATGTCTCTGCTCCTGCCAAGTTACCAATATTCCTTCTGGTATCAGACATCTAAAGTTTACTCCATTTTTAATTAAAGTTTTTGTTAAAAACTGATACTCCTTCCTTCTATCTCTAACTCTTCTTGGAAATTGTTTTAGGAGCACTCTTTTTCTTTACATTTTAAGGGATCATCTCACTCTCTGCATGATCTCTGTTTTTATTGCTTTTTTTGTAAACCTCACATGAACCTCTCTGAGGAGCATGTTTCTCATTGCATATCTAGTATGTACTCTAAACACTTCATCCATCTCTGTCAAGATTTTCCCTCTAATTATTTATTTATTTAATTTATACTGCCGCCTATAGTGACTTGAGGTGGCTTACACAATGTAAAACCATATTTACAACAAAAAATAAAAATAAAAAACAATAAAAACTAACAAAAAGAATCAAATAAATTAGTAAGGTACAATAGAACAAAATTTGGGAAAACAAAAAAACAAAACAAAACAAAAAACAAAAAAACAAAAACCAACTCCCAACCCCCCACCCCAACGACAGCAGATCACACTAGCCATTTGATGGGCTCCATCCCTCTCTGGATTCCTCAGGCCCGCTGGCAAAGCCAGGTCTTCAGTGCCTTTCGGAAGTGCTAGAGTGGGGGCCATTCTAATCTCTGGGGGAATGATATTCCAGAGAGAGGGAGCCACCACGGAGAAGGCCCTTCTTCTGGGTCCCATCAGAAGTATCTCCCTCAGGGGTGGGACCTGCAACATTCCCTGCCTCCTTGCTCTAATGGGTTGGGTAGATGTAACTGGCAAGAGATGCTTCCTCAGATAACCCTGATCCAAGCCATGAAGGGCTTTAAAGGTGACAACCAGCACCTTAAATTGCACCCAGAAACAAATCAGCAACCAATGCAACTCCTGCAGGGGAGATGACACATGTGCACACCTGGCTCTGCACAAAACCATGCGGGCCACTGCATTTTGCACCAACTGGAGTTTCTGGATGCTCTTCAAGGGCAGCCCCATGTAGAGCACGTTGCAATAATCAAGATGGGAAGTGACCAGGGCATGAGTGACTGAGTAGGGACCGCTGATCTAGAAAAGGGCGTAACTGGTGCATAAACTGCAGTTATGCAAAGGCCCTCCTGGCCATGACCACCACCTGCACTTCAAACGGGTTGTGAGTCCAGGAAAACCCCTAGATTACACATGGTGTGTTTAGGGTAGTGCCACCCCATCCAAGGCTAAAGGTGGTAATTCTCCCTGAGCCAATGAACCCCAAACCCAGAGCTACTCAGTCTTGCAAAGGTTTAGTTTCAACCCGTTGCTCCCCATCCAGCCCCTAACAGCCTTCAGGCACTGCAAGAGCGAGGACACAACAACACTTAACTCACCACGGGCCGATACATACAGCTGAGTATCATCAGCATATTGGTGATACCTCAGTCCATGATGACGGATGATCTCACCCAATGGCTCCATATAAATGTTAGTTACCTCCAGGGCCCCTGCCAACAACTCTGCCATTATCTCCACGGGGTTTTCTCCTTTTTTTTCTTCCACATTTTGAAATCTCAAGCAAAAATCTGCCCTGTCCATTTCTAATGCTATGATTGTCCTTTCTTTGCTCCTATCTGCTTGTGTCAATCTATAGTCAAGT